AAAACAACTAGATATACCCCTCTAACATTTCTGCCGCTCACTCTTTTCGAAAACTTTCGTAATCTTTCTAACGTTTACTTCTTAATTGTTTTAATCGTTACATTTTTACCAATATCTCCAGTAAGCTGGATTTTTCAGCTTCTTCCACTCGTATTTGTTATTTTGGTGTCAATGGTCAAATCAGCCATCGAAGATCTGATGAAACGAGCCGATGATAAACGAAGAAACAGACAGATCATACACGTTTACAGAAATAACCAATTTAAAGATATACATGCATACCAACTTAAAGTTGGTGATGTTCTTCAAATTACCGAAGATGAGATGGTTCCTGCAGACCTCTTATATATTGGATCTTCACAGGAAGAAAAATTATGCTATTACAGTGAAACAAATTTAAACGGCGAAACTGCAGTAAAAACCATGAGCTGCTTCCCAGCATTTCAAAAAAGCGATCCCCTTGAAGAAATAACAAAAAAGCAGTACAAAGTTGACGTCTCAGAACCAGATCGCGATTTAACACGTTTTGACGCAAGGATGAGGTGTGGAGATCAATTTTGGGCAATTTCAATTCATAACGTTTTACTTAGAGGTGTTTCTACTCATTATACCGAAAATGTTTTAGGTATTGTTTTAAGGACAGGACATGATACGAAAATTATGAAAAACATTAAACATCCGCCTGCAAAAATGACATCTTTTGATAAGAATTTAAACAAAATGCTTATCGTTATCTTTATTATCAATTTAGTAATTTGTTTGGTTTCAGCTGGAATAGGAGTTTTTCGTGAGAGAAAATCAAGTTTTCATATAATTCAAGATTTAGTTCGATCATCTAGTCAAGCAAAATCATATGGCGAATACTTTGTTCAATTCTTTATTCTTTATTCTTATTTTATTCCCATATCGTTAATGGTTACCATCGAACTTTGCCGCCTGTTTCATAAAATCATTATTGATTTTGATCCTGAATTTTATGATCCCGAATTTGGTCACGCATCAGCGCATAATTCTAATCAAATAGGTCAATTGGGATTAGTAACTCATGTCTTATCTGACAAAACTGGCACATTAACTGAAAATATTATGGAAATGCTTAAATTTACAATTAATGATGGACATTTTGATGCTCATGACTTTATTAAAGCTATTGATGCTGATCCAAATATGGCTACACCCGCAATTCCGTTTCTTATATCTTTAGCTCTTTGTAATAACGTTATTGTCCACTTATCCAGCTCTGGTAAAATTGAGTATAATGCAGACTCACCAGATGAAGCAGCTTTTGTTAATTTTGCTGCAAGCTGTGGAGTTCGTTTGTTAGCTAGAGATTTAACATCCATGACTTTAGATATATGCGGCCAAAGAAAAATTTATCATATTCTAGCCGTTCTTCCATTTAATTCAGATCGTAAAAGAATGTCAATTTTAGTTAAAGCTGATAATGAAGATGCTGTATTATATTGTAAAGGCGCTGATAACGTTATTAGAGAACGTTCAATTGAATTTAATTGCACAGACATTGTTAATACATATGCAGCTACAGGACTTCGAACTCTTGTTTTCACTCAGCGAAAGATTATCGAACCAGAATTCTCAGAATGGACAAGAATTTTCCACGAAGCCGAATCTTCATTACAGAACAGAGACGAAAAAGTTGAATCAGCTGCTGCGTTAGTTGAAAAGAATCTTAATGTTATTGGTGTCACAGGTGTTGAAGATCGTTTACAGCCACAAGTACCTGAAACGATCGACTGGCTCAGAAGTGCACACATCAAAATATGGATTTTAACCGGTGATAAGCTTGAAACCGCAATTGCAATTGGACGAACAAGTGGTGTCATTTTGCCATCATCTGATGTTCTTATCATTTCAAATGAAGAAAAAGAAACAGTGAAGAGAAGACTACGCGTTTTAACAGATGACTTTGATAGTTTCAATCGGCCGGTTTTGATTGTAACCGCTCGAGCTGTTGAATACTGTCTTAATGATTATTTTGAAGAATTCATGGGTATTGCACAAAGAGCCACATCTGTTATTTTGTCTCGTGTTTCTCCATTTATGAAGGCACAAGTTACACATGCTGTTCGTGATCATGGTGGCATGACACTTGCTATCGGCGATGGTGCTAATGACGTTGGTATGATCCAAGTTGCTCACGTTGGTGTTGGTGTTTATGGCCGTGAAGGAAGTCAAGCAGCCCAATCTGCAGATTTCGCAATTCCAAGATTCCGCCATTTAGTTCGACTTTTAACAGTTCATGGTCATTGGAGCTATTATCGTTTCAGTAACGTTGCTATGATCATGCTTTATAAGAATTTTGCTTTCATTCTTTGCCAATTTTGGTTTTCATTCTTCTGTCTTTGGTCACCAACTTCATATTACAACGACTTTTTCCTTTCATGCTTCAATTTGGTCTTTACTGTTTTACCACCATTCATTTTTGGATTTACAGAACAAGATCTTCCACAACAGATATTAATTAAAACACCAGATCTTTATCCAGTTCAATATGACCCAATGAAAGTGAAAAACCTTGTTTATTATCTCATTCTAGCTGTCTACCAAAGCGTTGTTTGCTACTTTGGAACTTATTTCAATATGGGAGATGATTCTCTTGTCGCAAATGGAATTGTTTCCTACTTAACGGTTGTTTTTACAGTTATAGTTCAAATCATCATATGGACAAATTATCATAACATTATCGGATTTATCGCATACCCAGTTAATATTGTCTTTGTTCCAATTATTACTATCATAGATCTCGCTTGTTTCAACCCGCCACTGAAAGGAGTGTTCACACATACATTATCATCAGCTTATTCATGGTTGGGTATTATTTCATCTGTCGTTGTTGCGGTGTTACCTTCATTTATTATTGAATACACACAGAAAAGATTCGCACCAACTAAGACTAGAATCTATCAAGAAAAGGTTGCAGAATCAATTGATGACAGAAGAAATAATAATGTTAAGAGAACTTGGAGTCAATTTGGAGCGGAAGAATTGGAAAGATATAATTCTGGAACAATTGATGGAAGAAGAACTTCAGTTTATAGAAATAACGATCTTGCTGAAGATGATGATATTGATGCTAGTAATTTAGATAATGTCCATAAGCCGAATCCAGAGTCCAGCGTTTATAATATCTAATTGTTGTTGAATTTTTTTTTTATTCATCTTTTTTTGTTTTGAGTTTCAGTTTGAGATTTATATTATTTAAACATTTTTAATGGAAAATACTCTTTTTCTTCTTTTTTTCAAGTTTTGCACAATTTGAAAAAGTTTGATATATCCAAGTGTGATGTGAACAAATATGATATCAAAAAGTTTATTATTTATGTCTGAATCTAGCGTTGCTGAAAACTATTTAAAGATTTATAATAGAGTTAAAGAATTAAACCCTAATGCAACACTTGTTGCTGTAAGTAAAACAAAGCCAATTGAAATGCTCCAAGAAGCTTTTAACTCTGGTTGCCGAACATTTGGTGAAAATTATGTTGATGAAATTGTTACCAAAGGCCCACTTCTCCCAGAAGCCAAATTTCATATGATCGGCCATCTACAAAGCAATAAGGTCAATAAAGTTTGCTCAATTCCAAACCTTGGAATGATCGAAACAATAGATAGTGATCATTTAGCAAATAAAGTTAACAATGGCTGGAAATTTGAGCAGCCTCTTCCTGTTATGATTCAAGTCAACACATCTGATGAACCTCAAAAAAATGGAGTTCAAGTTGGTGAAGCACTCACAAATCTTGCTCAGCATATCATCAACAATTGTCCAAAATTAAAATTCACAGGATTGATGACAATTGGCGAAATAGGCGAAAGTCATAGAGATTTTGAAACATTAAAGAATGCTAGGGATAATTTAGCCGCAGAACTGAAAGTAGATTCCGCATCTTTAAAGTTGTCTATGGGCATGAGTGCTGATTATGAACTTGCTCTTCAAATGGGATCAGATTATGTTCGTGTTGGATCATCAATTTTTGGAGCTCGCCAATATAAGCATTAGATCAATTTTTCTGTTTATTCTTTTTATAAATTAGTTAAATTTTAACCACATCAAATATATTGATCCATTGTTTTTTTTTTTTTTTCTTGAATATTCAAGAAATTCTCTGTTTATAATTTGTCAAGATATTAATGATCGTTAGTACGATTATAACTTTTTCAAAAGAGTACTCACAAATATTTAATTATAAACGTAATTATTTTTTTCCTAATTTTTTCATTTCAAAAGAAATTATTTTACTATGTCAGTTTCATGGTCTCCCGAAGAACTTACTTTTATAGCAGAAAATTCGAAAATCAATATAACACCACACTTTACAGCTGACAAAATCAAATTATTATCAGGAGAATTTGGTCCTTTTACAGCTGGTTACTCAACAAAAATTCCTTTATGGTTAGCACTATTTTTATATTCGTCACAATTATGTGATTTAATTCCACCAGAATGGCTAAATACTTCATATTTAAAAAAATGGGTTGAGAAAGAAAGACAAGATAAAGAAACATTATCAAAATTACCAAAAGATTATATGGAAATAAGTTTTACCTTTTTTAATAGGGCTTCTTCAATCATCTCTGATTGTGATCAAGTCAAAGATTTAATTAATCGTTTGTGGGAATTGCGAATTGAAAAAATACGTAAAACAATAGGTGAACAAAGTTCTGAAACTATTGACCAATATCAGTTTCCTAACATAACACAGATGGAATTATATCTTTTCCGTGAACCAATATCAAGAATTACCACATTACTCACATCATTAAATGAATGCATTTCTCCTGTTGATCAATCAATCTAAAATATGTTTTTTATATTGTTAATTTAGGTTATTTAAAAATCCATAAATATTATTATGCAGATATATATTTATTGCTATTTGAAAGTGATAGCTACTTCTTCATAAAAAGAACAAAAATTATTCCATAATTTGTTTGCATATATTGTTTTCCTCATTCTTGATTTTAAAATAAAAGTCAAAAAATGGTCCTGCAGGGAATCGAACCCCAGACCTTCGCATTAAAAACACGATGCTCTCCCGTCTGAGCTACAAGACCTTTCATTTATTTAATGGTGAATATATTACAAGAATAATTTTAAGTGTAGAGATGAATTTTAAAATGATGAAATTGTAATTTCAATATATTTGAATTTATTCAAAAATTTTATATGGCATGACAATTTTATTTTGAATTTTTAATCAATAATCAAATGAAAGAATATATTGAGTTTCTCTTTGGAGAAGAATTTCACCATAAAATTTCTGAATTAAAAAAGGGCCAAAAAATAGATTTTAATAATTGTGAAAAAGAAGATCATGAAGTTCGCATTCAATCAACACAAATTGAAATAACGAAAGATAGTGACGAAAAGCTTCTAATTAAGATAAATAAAGTAAACATTACTCTACTTAAAGCAGTCGATGCAAAAACCTTGAATTTTATTAAAACGCTAATGTCAGTTCCACATCATCTTTGTATTGAAATTGAATCTTTGTCTATTTTAACTTCAGAAGAACTTCCAAAAGAAAAACAACGCATTCCTTTTGCTAAAGTTGTTGATACATCAACTGTACAAGCAGGGCCTTTTGGCAATTCATATCCACCTGAAGATGAGTGGGCACTGGTTTTTGGATGCCCGTTTTATCAAGCATTCCCATCATTAAAAGCTTTACCAATAGTTGTTTTAGAAGGTGAAGTTCAGGTTGTGTTGAAAGATAAAAAACCGCAAACATATCGAACATTTTTATTACCTTTATATATTGTTTTTTATGAAACTCAAAATTCTTCAAAAGCTACAGATAGCATATTCTTGTCAGGAGCCAAAATAGAAGTCGATTCACCGCACCAATTTTCGTTAATAAAATCAAACGATAAATATTCACTTTCATTCAATTCAGTTCAGCTAATGCAACAATGGTCACAAGCAACTTTATGCATGATAAATGAAGCTTCTTCTTCTCTTGAAAGATGGAGAAAAGAAAACAGTTAAGCTAATTATTTTATTTTATATTATTATATTTTATCGTTTTATTTTCTTCTTTATAATACAATGTTAATTATTAAACCTTTTTATTTTCTTTGCAATGATGCTATTCAGAACATATTCATATTTTTTATACTTTCGTAATAAGATATTATATTTTATGAAATAAAACCAAAATTAATTTATCGGCAGATACCTACTCTGTTTTATGAAGATTGTTTTATTAAATATTTATCCTATCAATACTTTTTTTGATGTTTTTTTAATGTTTTTTAATTGAATAGTTTACAAATATAACATTCAATTATAATAGAAAAGTTTCATAGCCAAAAATCCATAAATAAAACAAAATGTCGCTTCAAGTTGAGCAATCTTCTTTAATTAAAGGTGAAAATCATGAAAGTGATGCTGGTGCAGTAAAGGCTATGGATGCTTTAAAAAATCAAAATGCAGAAGAGAAACCAAAAATTATTATTAAAGCCCCAGATTTAAACCTTGTTATGGACGCAACCCATCTTTCTAGAAATGCGGCTATTGAATTAATTGAATCAACAAATGGTGATATAAAGGAAGCTTTACGTAAGTATGTTAATGATGATATTTAATACAATATGTTAAATAGTTTTAGCAAAATAAAAATAAAACAAAAAGCATAATATCGCTTTATAAATATTTTTAATTATTTTGTAGACATTTTTCTTAAAATAAAAAAATAAAAATAATAATATTTTTCGCTTTAACAGAAATTAAAACCGATAATGTGAGGGTGGACTGTTGCAATTTTGTCTGTATAATAAACTATTAGCTTATTAAAAGGCTCAGTATTAACTTTATACCAAAGATTTGTTCCAACCTCAACTTTAGGAAGAACATAATGAGTTGAACAGACAATTACATTATCTGCATAATGCACAAAAAACAAGGAGCGTGCAAAAGTATTAGAATCACCTCTCATAATATTAATACCAAATTCAGATATTCTTTTCTTTCCATCAAATTTATACAAAGCATAACGCTCTTTATCATGCCACTCATATCCATACGAATTTACTTCTGGTACTGCCTTTAATTTCTTAACCTTATCATAATCTTGTTCAACATCAATTGTATAAATTCCAGTAGATTTAAACTTATGAAGAGTTACATCTCCAACAATTTCAAAGCTGAAGATATGTGTAATTGGCTCAACAGTAAAAATGAAATCGAGAGTATTATCATCTATTTTGTTACTTTCTACTTCTTTATCTTCATAAAGTAATTTGAAATCAGTTGAAGAGGCAGTTATTCTAACTTTTGAAATAATTGTATTTTTGTAGTAGAATACAATGAATTTTCTCTTCCCTTTGACAACAACTTCTCCACCTTTAGAACTAAGCAATTTATTTTCATCTACATCCATAAAACTAGCAGTTGATAGAAAAGAAGTCTCATAAAGGTGCCTTTCTTTATCGGGGAGTTTTATAAGTGGCTCAAATTTCGGATTATTCAAATCAACAGGAACTATATATTCTTCAGTATACAAATTAGCAAGCATTGAACAATTTGATGCGAATTCTTTACACACTTTGCAACATGGAAGATATTCATCACCGCTGATATAGTTTGTAACAAGGCCTCTGAAATTTTGAGAGCGCTGAAAATACGAAATTTCCTTTTCATTAATACCATTTCTATTGCAAAAAGCACATTTCAAAAAAGGGTTTGATGAAGAATTTGAATTTGAATTACCATTCAAATTTGTATGCTCCATACAAACGTACATTAATGAATTTGAATCGCATAGAAATGGATTAATGTTATTCTTAATAGCAAGACCATCTCGAATATCTTCAGCAATGTTTAATCCAAGTCTGGCCTTTTCCAAATCAAGAGCATCTTTCAAGCTTCTTTCGCTTTTCATAAATTCGTCAAATAATGATACAAAACGATCAATTGAAGACTCATCATTTGCAAGCGGCATCCACTTGTTATACATCTGTCCTTCAAGCGGAAGTTGGCAACCAATTCGAATGTTACCGCACGTAAAGCTATCGTCCTGTGAGAAGAAACGAACAACTAAAAATAAAGAGATATCGTTATTAGTATTTGTATTTGGACTCTGACTAATACTTGCAATACTTTCATTTTCTTTGTTACTGATGAGAAAACGACACCAGCCATTCGATTGTGGAATTTCAAAATGTCCAATTACATTCAACTTGTCAAGAGAAAGCCCACTTAAAATAATCAAACTAGACGCAGTACATCGATGAATACAAAAACGTGAAATAGACATCGGTCGAGGGAGAGCAATTATCAGATCATTATTATTACGAAATGTCAAATGTGACTTGTTAATTGTGGCATCAGTTTTTTGGATCTTAAAAAGATCGTACGGAAAAGGACCCGGAACTGGAAAGATGTGATCTGGATCAAGAAGAAACTTGCTGGTGATTCTGCCTGGATTTACAAAATGCATAATTATTTTGTTTCGGCCTGGATCGTTTGTTACGTTTTGATATCGTCTCTGAAGTGTGATTGATGAGTCAGATTTCTCTACGTTAATTGTGGGTGAAAATTTTCGGATGTGCTCTGTCTTGATTGCTGGTGTGTTTGTATATAAATATGAAACAACATTGCCGGATGTAACAAAAGCTTTGGCAAGGAAGTCTATGACATCTTGCGAGAGATACGGTGATGGTTTGTAAAGTGTAATATTAGGAGCAGAATTCGATATTGATGATGATCCCGATTTTCGCTTTGAGCGAGGAGATGAATTTGCATCTTGAATATAATTTGGAGCTGAGTTTGTATTGTCATCTGTGTTCGATGAGTTTCCGTCTGAATTCAGATTTTGATTATCTAATCTGATGTTATCAAGATTGACACTATCTGATTGCGATTTTGTATTTATGCTGTTATCGTCGCTTTTTGTAGAAATATTATTGCTATTATCATTATTATTAATATCATCATCATCATCATCATTATTATTATCATTTTTATTGTTGTTGCTATTGGTGGTGGTATTCTCATTTTCACTCTTTGAGTTATCTTTAGCATTGTCGATATTTTCACTTTCTGAATTATTGTTTTCATTTTCATTATTTGAAGAGTTGTTTTCAAGATCTTCTTCTTCATTTTCAGAGTTATCATGTTTAGATGGAACTGATGGTGGAACTGGAATTGGTGGTGGATTCTTTTCTGTGTTATTTTCTACACCATTTGAGTTTTTGGGAACAGAGTGATCAATACGACCTTCATTTTCTTTAATCCATTTTTCAACAACAACAAGAGAATAGAAAAATGTTGCTAAATTTGCACGATCGAGAGAATCGGCACAATTGAATCTAATTATTCCTTTTTGAGTATTTGAGATATTATTAGGAAATGTTCCTGTTAAGAATCCATCGTTTTCGAGGTAAGGAGTAACAGCTTCTTTAAGTTTGTTGAATGCAGCAAATGTTCCTCCATAATGTAAATAAAAGTTTAAATCAAATGGATTATATGTAACATTTTCCATTCCTCCCTTCTGAAGCATTGATATTGATTCTTTGAATTTATCATGAATATCACGCTCAGATTTGTGTTCTCCGCTTTCAAGTAATGAAAAGCATCTAATTAAGGTATCATTGCCATATCTGTTAAGTAACTTTTTGAAATACTCTGCTGTTCCATTGAAAAATCGTTCACCTGCGGTATGAATTGGTTTGCTGAATGCAGTGGATAAGGTAGTATTCCAACGGATTGGTGCAGATCCTCTCCTCCATCGCTGAATCCAAAAATCTTTGTCTCGAGAAAAAATTAATTCACATTCAATTTCGTTTGCAGGTTCATTTTTATCATTTAGTCCTCTGGCTAAATATCTTGTTCCTGGATTGAGACTTGATCGCCGCAAAATATAAGTGATGGAAAAATCTCTTCCTGGTATAGAATATGATAAACATAATCCTTGTACAAGCTTTACACAGCAAAAATCAAGATTGATATCACCTAAAGATTTAATCCATTCTTTGTTATAAATAAAATCTGTATCAGGCGTTTCTGGTGGTTTGTCTGATGGGAACGAACGGGTTATATCATAACTTTCACA